GAAGTATGGTGCACCATGGTATGCTGTCTATGAGGGCGTGTGCTTGAGCTTGAAGGCTAAGACAGCGTTGCGCCTCCGCTGAGAGCTGCAGTTCTTGGGGCTCTTTGCCACTTTGGCGCCCCAAAAGCCGTTCGACCTGCTCGGCTTGGCAGCTGCCTTGTACTCTTTGCCCTGCTTACACCGATACAAGTGCCTCATCAGTGACTGTTCGGTCTCTTAGTGACCTGACTTGACCTTCTCGAAGTCCCGGCTCAGATTTGGCTCTTCAGCAGTTCGCCGATCCACTGCAGCTTGACAGCCGACACATGTCGCTTCGTCGCCAGTCGAAAAGACTTTTGACAATATACAGCAGGGACCAGTCCGGCCAAACCTTCAGGCGGGACGTCTTCGTCCTGCATTGCCGGCTCGAAATAATTCGCTGCCGCTCTGGCAGCTTGGGGGCTGGTACGGCTTGCACCGCCAGGACTACTGCCATGTTGTGCGAGCGTATGCGTACCGCTCCAAAGGTGCTCCCTGCGCAGTCGAGGTACCCCCGACGACGTTCGGAGCGATCTACATCAGCTTTTTTGCTTCGGGCCAATCCACAGCTATGCTCGATACCCATGCGTACGGCGATTATCCAGTATGGTACGCTTCACGAGTATGGTTTGACATTGCAGCTATTGACACAAGCAAACGCTGACGTTCGGTAAGGTGATTTCGCTTGCCTACAGATGTTAGACTGCTCACCGACCTGCTCGTATTCGAGAAATCTCGTTGGCTCTTCCTCAAATCGGGTTCGAATCACTCAAAAAGCTCAGCAACGGCGTGAAGACATACGATGCACCCTTGAGCTCTTTGTGAGATTATGAGATTGACCTGTACGGTGTTGGCGTACCTTCTACCCATTGCCCGGCCGAATGGTGCCGGGCACTACTGCTGCTCAGGCAATGGTCAAAGCACAGCGCACAGCTCATCGAAGGCTCTTGTACTTACTCTGATTCCGTCAATGCAGTCAAATGGCCATTGCATTGCGTTTCGGTGGCTTTGTGTTCAGCTTACCACACAGCGGCCAAAATACCACTTTTTTGACTCTACACGGCACAGCATGCACCTGATGGGCCTGTAAGTGGCATGAGAGCAATCCTGAGAGTCCGACGGATCTGCCCATATTTGGTTTGCAAACTTTGGGAAACATCAAATTGGCCAGAAAGCCGGGTATGTTTAGATACTGAATGCTAACACTTTCCGCGCCGAACGCATCGCAATTTTGGCATGCAAAGGGAAGGTCCGACCATTGAAACCACAAGGTGTATTGCATATCGTACTATGATATGACGGAATATGAGACGCTCGCGAAGCAAACGGACCGAGCAAATCAGGTTTTTGTGCATTTAGAGTGGCGTCCACTGGGCTTGATTTACAGGAAGCCCGCTGGAGCCATAAGTATCAATGCTGGTGCTCCAAAACGTCTATAGAGAATGTGTCGCAACAATAAGAGGCTTTGCTGATGGTTTGGTATGATTTGAACGCATGCTGAGCCCGCCGCGGCGCTTCCGGATCTTTTCGATGAGCTTACGTATGAACTGCAAATCACAATCAATCAAGCTATGATTACTGCGGCGGTGTGGTATGATGCCCAGCATATCTACATATTGGTGAAAAAGGCTGCAACCCAATCTGAGCTGCGCAAGAGCCGTGCAAAATCTTTTAGATTTTCGAAAAGGCAAGGGGCCAGAGCTCGGCCGCATCGTATGCTAAGCGCCCAAGAATAGCATTAAAAGACGCAGGACAAACTTAGAAAGGGCCAACTGGGCTTCGACAGCGGCGCGAAGCCTGAGCCCGGGTTTGCAGCCAGCTTTGACTGGTTTTCGGCGCTGCGAGCCGGAAGCGAGCGAGCCAAGTCGGTAGGTCCCCTAGATAGATGCAAGTAGCCTGGGATGGTACGTCCGACCATTGATCATCTTCTCTTGAAACGACAGAGGTCCCGCAGGCGCCGAGCTCGAGGACCGGCCGCTGCTTTTTGAAGCAATATTTGGGGTCGCAAAGCCCTGCAGTGGAAGTGCAAAGCAACGAAACGGCCGCTAAAATGTATCTGGAGATGCTCCAGAAACGCAGTCAGGGGTGAGAGGTGTTGAAAGCCTGGACGGGTGAGGTACCAAGCTGGTAGCGCTGCTGCAAGTAATTTCTACGTAGGCACGACGTCATCCGGAAGCCCGCGCCGGGCTCTTTCTGTGACACGTAGCTGCCACGTCGNTAGTTCGGTGACCGTCCACAGACCTAGCGGCGGTCTGTATCTGGCTATCCGTCCCCCGTCCGGCTTCGCTACGTGCACAAGCTATGCTGCGCCAGCCAAGCCGCAAGCGCGGACCGTCCGGACTGTCTCCGAACCATTCTAGAGGTCCCAGAACGCGGATACATCGCTATACCAGCAGAAACCTGCCGTCGTCGGATGAGGACGACGAGAGCATCGGAAGCCTGGATGACGTGCAAAATGTACAACCACTCTCTCAAACTCGATACTGGTGGCAAGACCTGGATCTCCGCCCCTCGGAGAAGGCGCCTGCAAGCCTGCAAAGCGAATCGTCAACAGATGAGGAATCCGATACGAGCAGTGCACATGCCGCCGCAGATCAGCAGGCAAATGCGATGATATCTGATATCATTGAGTTTCATGATATAGAGCCACGTACGGAAGAGTATGGCGGCAGTGGAGCCGATGATCCTTGGGCAGACGAGGACATGAGAATTGACGATAGACCTGACCTGAACGACGTCGCTCAGCCGGAAGAGCCGCCCACCATACCCTCGAAAACGTCTCCTTTAGCGCCGCCTTGCTCAAAATCGGGCGCCGCATCCTCTGGCAGCATCGCTGGCAGCGAGCGCGCTGCTGTTCGGTCGTCAGGTCGAAGCTTAGCAGAGATTGTTGCCTCAAGCGACGAATCGTCAGACTCGTCTGGACTGGAGACCGACGATGAGACTGATCTCGCACGGCGGGAAAGGTTCGCGGAGCTGAAGCAAGCCGGTAATATCGTACGAATGACACCCTCTTTGTGGGCTTTCCGTCGGCCAACAAAGGTACGAAGCTTCCTGCAGGCGTCTTCTGTCTGACTGTGCTCAAGCAGCCCAACGTATGGGATCATCTCTGGGGCCGACTGGACTGTGGCAGCCACGTCTGGAGCTGCGACTGCGCGCTGTACTCCAAGATAAGCACTTGCCCGAGCGTCCGTCTGGCCCAAGCGTCAGCGACTCAAGATCGTCTTCTAGCCATGCGACCGATCGACGATAAGTGCGAAGGTAGCAGAGCAGTGTTGTCGAGAGGCGAAGAAGCTGAGGCCTCGACGAAATACAGCGCAAGGCCGTATACCTCACGCGATCTTGCTTGCTGCGCGCCATGGCATGGGCGGCAAAAAGATCTATTGGGTCTCGGTTGTCAGAGGTGCGAATAGAACGCAAGAATCCAGCAACAAGCGGGGCATCGTCACCCTTACGTACAGCTCCGATCGTCTACCGCCAGAA